CCCCCCCCCCCCCCCTGCCCGGGTATATCAAGGGTTATCCTGGTTCAAGGGGGACCAGTTGGCGCCCTGGCTTGTCCCGACGTATGGGTCACGTGTACTCGTGATATCGTCTTGCAAAGGCGATCGGCTCCCGTGCCGGAGCCCCCTCTCCGTTTGGGCGGGTGGTGGCGGTGGTGGCGGTGGTGGCGGCAAGTGAGGAAGAGAACTGCTGGCGAAAGGCGGTGTGTATTCTGGGAGTTTGGGCGGCGCCAGGGAGGGAGGGGAAGATTGCCAGGTGTGCGGATCTCCCCAAGTGCCGGGTCATGGGTGTGGAGAGCACCGGCCGCAGCCAAGGGCGAGGCAGCACGGAGAGGGGCCCCCTACCAGGAGGGGGGGGGGGACGACGAGCTACTTCTGCGGCGCGGCGGCCAGCTTCGACTCGACCATGCTCATGAAGAGGCTACGATCGTCGTCGAGCGAATCGATGTCCAGCTTCTGGAACTGCTCCAAATTGTCGGTGGTATTCAGACGGAGGAACTCCTCATCGCTCGGGTCAAGCTGGGGTGATGGGACACACGGGGGGCGAATGCCATCGGGTGAGCAGGAGGTAGCCCGAACACAGGAGGGGGGGGGGGGGGCAGGGGTCAAAGGAAATATGTGAGCGGATGGTTTTTCCAGACAGGACCAGCGGCGGGTGTGCGGGATTGCCTTGCATCCCTCGACTCGATATCTATGACGCACCGTCTCGCCCAGTTTCCGCAGGGCCACCAGGACTTCGACAATATCAGCGGTGGCGGCGAACTTCCCCAGGCGCAGGTCGCGCTTCAGGTTTTTCAGGTGCAGACGCAACTCGTCGGTCTCACGCCGAGCAAAGAGCCGAATGACCTCCGGAGTCTTGAAGGCCGAAGAAATGGCCGCCTGCATGGCCTACGCTCAGGTGTGCGTGTATATAATATATATATAATATGTGTGTGTGTGTGTGTGTGTGGGTAGGGGATACAGTGGTGTAAGTATCCAGGCCTTCCCGTCGACAGAAGCCAGCGAGAAATGTCAGCGTCTGAAGGGGGGGGGGGGGACATACCATGCGGATGGCGCCGAACTCATCCAGCAGCGAGACCTCGCCAGCCTGGACACGGCGCAGAGACTCACTGAACTCGGCCATCTGCTCCAGCGTATCGGCGCGGGTCTCCTCATACTCCTGCTCGTCGAGCGCATCGCGCAGCAGCTCCAAGTCCGACAGCTGGGCGATCAGACGGTCGATCTGGGTGGTGACATTCCGCCGGAGGACCTCCGTCTCGCGGTTGGTGGGAACCGCCGTGGTGGGAGTGGACATGTTTTTCTTCTTCTTTCGGGTGAATACAGGGGGGGGGGGGGGGGGGGGGGGGGGGAGGAAGGAAGATGCCCCGAGGTGCCGGGACACACTGAGCCCCACACCGTGGTGGCTCTCAAAGGGCGAGCCAGAGTTCAAAACAACAAGCGGAGTGCCAACGAATGGGGCTGGAATCGAAGGTGGTGTATTGCGCGGAACGGCGGGGGGCCGTCTG